GAATGTTCATTCAATCCTTCCACTAGCAATACTTCTTAGCTATCGGAGTTTCAAGTAAAGCATGCGAAATGATCTTCCCAATAAGATTGTCTTGTTTCAGATATCGACGTTTGCTGAATCGAATGGATTTATCGTTGGAATGGAGACCACTATATGATCTCTACGTTAAATGTATGCTTGGAAAATCACCACGAATACCGTCCGATGACGACGGCATCAATTCGATCGAGGCGGCTATTGCAGCGTGCAGGCAATATTTCCCGTTGGAAGCAACACGAGAAATTTTGGACGAGGTGAAACTACAGTTTGATGCAGTTGATTTGATCATCGATTTGATGCAATTGATCTACATGCGTAAAGCATCGAAACCAATTCTCAGCGAACCTAAAATTGATTTCAGGTTCGCCCATTCATTCATCCATTTGACGGAAGTATGATGCGTGCCACAAGAGTGATGGCTTTGTTCCTACCAACTCGCTTAACGAAGTCACAACATGAGAAATATGGTGCTAAATTGTGGATTGACGAAGCATGGCACTGGTACACGATAACGGATAATAATAATGGATATTGGGAGATCATGTTGTTGCATCTGTTTGCAAGGTAGCGCTTATATGCACTGAATGTTTCAAACGGAATAAGAATCTTTCGGAACAAACGTAAGAGGGGGAGGTTGTTGACTGGTCTACGAGAAGATTCATTCGTTATATGGAAAAGCTGTTCAGTTACAAATTTTGTAGAGAGATTCGCTCATTTGAAGAAAAATCCCTTGAAGATCCTCAGTGAATCCAGCGAACGCTCTCATTACCTATAGATGGTTAAAATCATCCGAGCTTTCGCATTCTCACACAAACACTTATCATTAACAATATTTGTGTTGTGCATTCTTCAAGCATTCTTTAAGACTATCGTCTGAATCTTGTGGATATTACAATTGGGCGGATAAATTTGATGTGATTTTCACTCGTGTAATGCGAATGTTCAATCTGTCAGTTCGTAAAGATCAAATCTCAGTTGGTGTAGGTGGTAATCGCGTGGATTTATTCTCCACATGGATTGTCTACATGCTTGGTGGTAAATCTGATGGGTGAGTACGCATGTTCTGCAATCCAAACACAAACATCGAAGCAGCGGTGTGTGACTCTATTGCGAATGAATCGTTCACAGAAAACACTTTCAGTTGATTTTTCTGAAAAAAAACATTTAAATGTAAGATATTTGGATAGTTTCAAAATTGACCCCCACTATCATGAAGTTTATTTGGCTAATTCTGAATCAAGTAATCCAGTGGCAAATTTCAGGGCACAAGGCCATTTGACGCAAATGCTGAATTCACTTGAGCCATACTTTCATCCGTCCAATACCGGCGAGCATACCGAACGTTTGCTCGTGTTTCTGGTGGCTCTTTGTAACGCGTTTGTGTTTCGACTTCACAAGGAACGCTATTGTCACGTCGAAGGTCACGATATTCCGCCGAGTATGAAGTTGACTGACGCTCAAGTGGATATGTTCGTAGAGTCCATACTGCCGTGTGCCGAATGGACTATCTTTGCAAAAGGTGAAAACGGTCTGACGCCACAAATAATGCGCTCGTTGGCATTCCTCTCACCCGGAATCGTGTTGCCGTCGATTTTGGATGTCGTCTATCCGTCACTTTCGACGCTTGTTGAGCCACATCGCTTGGTGGAATCGTTGAATTGCCTCGTGGCTGTGTGTGTACCGTTGGCTCGAGACGATGTGCTCGGACGGAAACGACGACCGTTGAGTGATGCAGTCGAGCAGTTTCT